GGGTTGATCTAAGTCAGGGCATGGCTAACTCACAGATTGAACCCTGAAACATCCTCTGGGTTGATCTAAGTCAGGGCATGGCTAACTCACAGATTGAACCCTGAAACATCCTCTGGGTTGATCTATAAGTCAGGGCATGGCTAACTCACAGATCGAACCCTGAAACAACCTCTGGGCTGATCTAAGTCAGGGCACAGATGGAATAGGAATTTAGGGTGTAAAGTTTTGCAGAGGGAGAACCTGGCCTAGAGTATGAAGTGAATTCTCTGATGTAAAAAGAATAAATAGCAGTGGAATCACAAAAGGGATTGCAAATTTTATCACAAATTCCAGCGAAACGAAAAAAATATTTTAAATTCAAACGAGGGCGAAAGTAAACTAATTTGAAATTGTAAGTGTAAACAAGAAAGAAAATTGTACATACGTAGTGAATAAAATTGTACAATTAAGGGACGATGGATTTAGAAAATATAGACAAAACTAAATAGCAAAATATAAGTTGAATATAAATAATTTGTTGCAGATAAATGTACAAATAAATTAGTACAAAAATATTCAGAAATGAATAAATATAATAAAATAATAAATATCTAAACATTATAAATTTAACATTTCATGCTATAAGTGATTTATTGACTTTCATTGTTCGAGAAATATCAAGTCAACTCACACAACCTTGAATGAGAAAGATAAAAAATCACTACGAAATGAAGTGAGATTTACTCACCGATAAATACAAGGCGATTGAGTTTTTCTTCGTTCGTTTTCCATGGAGTTGTAGCGGTTTTGTCAAACAATTCATGAACGGCTTGTACAACCATTCGGCGTTCCTCTCCTATTACCGCGACCACGCCCTGCCGAGATAAGAAAACTTTAGCGCTAAGGTTTGTTTGAGTTTTTTGATGTATCTTGGTTGAATATCCAAAAGACGTGTGTGAGATAAGAATTGAAATTACTGGGTGTCAGCGATGAGTGAATTAAAGGAACAAAAATGAACAAATGTTTTAAAATATTTACAATGTATAGTGACAGGGGAAAGGTTTTTATTCAGTGTATTTTGAAGGAGAATCGAATTTCAAAAAATGTCAATGGCTACGAAAAAATGYAGAGGTTAAAAAAAATTGGAAGAAGGTGTGGGGAAAAAGGAGGCATAACTCCAACGAGTTAATTTTTTATAATTCGAATGCAAATATACCAAACAGAAAGATAATATAAAAAAAGAATTTCGGCAAGAAAGGAGTGGGGAAAAAAACAAAAACAAAAAGCTGAGGAATTAAAAGGAGAAGAAGAAAGGGAAGTAGTTCTTTCTAGCACTTTCAACGCTTTCAAACACTGGTCCAAAAATTCAAAAACCAAAAGTAGAAAAAAAGTATTTAACCACAGTTTGCATTTTCATCCAAAATTGTACATTTGAACGTAAGATATTGTTTAAAGAAACCTACTATCTTAAAATCAAAGTTCGACCATCTTGGAACCATCTAAGCGTTTTCAGTTGTTTCCTAGTAAATAAACCCGTCAGTAATCTTGGCTGAAAATCTACGAGAACCTCCACAAAACCTAGATTTAATAATATTTGCACGACAGTTAAAATATTTAGGTGCCTTTGTCATAATTCTCCAACATTTACTTTTGGGTATCTATGAGACGTCTTCATGAGGTGAGACAGGCAGACATGGCCGCGGCTATCAGTTAATGTCTTATCGAGATCACACTCTCTGAGACTAATCAAAGAGATCGCCATTAAGCCTAATAAAAAAATTAAGATCTATTTTTCTCTAGGGCACGTTCGGCAAAAAGCGTTTTAACATACTGGAGACAAGTCAAAACAAAAGAATTTCAACAGTTTTTTCAACTCGTTGTTCGACTCGGTAGGAGTCAAGACTATCAGTGATTTCTGGCCGATTTTTTAGATTTAATCTGATAAGAAGTATCTTAGAGCTTTATTGAGTAATTGGATAATTGTTTACGCGGAATTCGGTGTAGTATCGATCGGATTTGTATAGAGACAAAGAATTTTGAGCGGAAAACCTTCACCCTGAATCAGTTAATTCATCTCCTAACGACCATTTTTGAGTTGATAATTATCAAAACTTTTAGTTCTCGTGTATAACCCTTAACCACGAGGTATAGCAATTTGTTTTAATAAAAGATATTTTTTGATTGACGAGGTTGGAAAAGAGTAGAATTTACCAGAGCGTTGGGAAATGCTTTAGTCGAAGCGTGCAGAGGCGATTCAGACTTCAAAGAACAAAGCAAAGTAATCTTATTACTAAGTAATTACTATAAGAGTATTGTACACAATTCCTTCATATCAAAATAGCATATTTAATGGAATAAAGGTTTAAACTAAGTGTCCTTCTTGATAAAGCCTCCAACAAAACAAGGCATTTTCTATTTTCAATCGATTAAACACATTTAATCAGAAGTTAAAGAGCTGAGTGAACGGAGGCGTCCTTAACACGAAAGCCTTTCTTCGAGCTTAACCACAAGCAGATGGAGAAATACGGCGGTATTTGTAAAGCATAAAGCCTGTGGAGTGATAGTCGGTAGATGTATTAGTTAGATACTTTCCTCATACAGAATAGAACTAAACTCACTGGGAAACTAATATGATTATCTGCTACAAAKACCGACTTGAAGTAATCAAATTCAAGTTCAATCGCCAGCGAAATTGAGCCAAATTTTATTTGGGTTTTGATTAAATCTTTAAACTTTTGAGCACAAAAACTCCTCTCTTTGTACACAGAAAATTACTGTAATTCTAATAGACAAAGGCACTGCAATGACACTGAAAGCAGAGCAAAGATTTTCTTTTCTTTCTTTCTTTCTTTTGTGTGTGTG